CCAAATCAAACCATTTTTCCATACTTACTACTGGTGAATTGCTGGCATTACAGAGGAATAGCAGCTTTATAAGTAGCATTATGATACAGTTTTTCTGGCATTGCCATTAGCATTATCCCGCAAAATAACTAGCATTATCCGCCCAGGCCTACTCGTTGGAACAACCAACTTCAGGAATAATACCGCGGAAGTCGCAAATTCGAAGAAAAAAGCGTTTATTTAGTTAATGTCTCTTCATCTCGTCGTCCTTATTGCGATATTAAAATCGTTGTCTCCTCGTCCTTATTGCGATATTAAAATCGTTGTCTCGTCGTCCTTATTGCGATATTAAAATCGTTGTCTCCTCGTCCTTATTGCGATATTAAAATCGTTCTCTCGTCGTCCTTATTGCGATATTAAAATCGTTGTCTCGTCCTCCTTATTGCGATATTAAAATCGTTGTCTCGTCGTCGAATATTTTACTTTAGAAAAATGGATAAAATTGACTGTCCAATGTTGAACCAACAACCCAAAGGAAAGTGAAAAAATGAAAGTTGTGTCGTGATTATGATGTTCTGGACATTGAAATCCGGTTGAATGACCTGGACCGGCGCCCTGGCTCACTTACTGTCTTAGCGTTCACCCACTGTAGTTAACGTACATACTGTAAAGATGGACAAGCAGTTTTCCCTTATATCAAGTATTCATTTTTCTCCCTGTGTGTTTTTTTGCAGTGAACACGTGGCTCAGCTGTGGAGACGGCGGTGATGAAGTTTATGTCACCAACAACCAGGAAACGTGGGTTGCTGGCGAGCAGTTCTGCCAACGTCAAGGCAGCCATCTCGTCAGCTTCCCCCAGATCACGGCATGCAAGTCAAGTTTACTGTCGTTGCTTGATCTTGCAGAAGTCCATACCAGCTACACCAGATTTCTGGATGGACTTCACTACCGTGATGTGGCAAATAACTTGCAATTGTCGGACAGTGTCATTGACATCAGACGCACTCCCGTCAATTGCACGAATGCGTTTCTTGGGAGCTCATCACCGCCGGAACCCAGACTTTGCTCGTTCATCGGTGCAGTCGTCTGCGGACGCAATAAGGGTAAGATAATTTTATGGTTTGTACCAATACAGTAAATTATTGAGGATCTATTCTTTTGCTTGAGGTCTTTAAGTTGCTGTAGCGATTAATAGTATTAGTGAAGATCACGTTTGGACTTCGCACTCTCCCCTGGACGTATAAGTTGTTTTGTTCCCCTGCATAGCTTCTGTTGTGAAACGACTTTTCTATGATGATATTCTCAAGAAAATCGATCAGGACAATTTATTCACCAAATTCTCTCTGTTCTTTGCGTAATGTCCGCTTCACTAATCCTATTTTAAAACATTTTTATTGCTATAATGCGGTTATTATTTCCGGGTCGCCTATTCATAAGTTTCTGTGTTTTTGACATTTTTCATTATTCCCTGTAACAGTAACCACCCGAGATGAGAAGAGAACGAAAATGTCCGGTTACAAAATTGGTTTTACTTGACTCGGTGCTGACACTTCTTTGAAAAATCATTACAGGTTGAAATTTTAAAATTGGCCAAACATCAATTTCAGTACATTCATTCTTGAGGGCGCCGAGTCAAAATTGTGTTTTGCATTAGGTAGCTGCTTCTACATAGCCACTGAAATTCACTTCTATCTGCAGAGAATTGGGAACAGTGAGTGTCACCTGTGATAAATTGTACTGTTACTGGGTGCAACATGTATGATGACACTCTCATAAGAAATCATTATTCTTTTATGCGCATTCCAGTATGGGCGGCTTTCAAAGGGTTAAGGTGAAGCGCAGAAACATGGCAGGATAGTATTTTTTCTCCTGTTGTATTGTCGTGTAGCTATTAGGAAACCAGCCATCGTGTGCGAACCGTACATATTGACGTACCACAGCATCGTGTTTTCAGCTGCCAAAGCAAACTGGACGTGTCGCCAACAGTATGATGGTTGGCTGTTGTCAACAGACATGCCTCAGCTCAGCTGCGTCTCTCAGCTCCTGAATTCGTCTCAGGTGCTGAGAGACAACAACGTCACCACCATACCCCTCTACACCAGCGTCACGAACGGGTCAGCTGATTGCGAGGTGTATTTGCCATCAAGGTCGGCAGTAATTCGAGACTCCTGCACCGCAGCCAGACCGACCGTCTGCGTGTCTCGTAAGTTTACTTCTCTATTTTCGTAAAAGTCAAACCATGGTCTCAAGAGAAAATTATCTTCAAATCACAATATGTAATTCTCGGGGTGCTGAAGTGAATGGTCTTAGTCCTGGGAAGGTGAGATGCGCCGTTCTTCCATGTTCCCAATGAAACTTGTCCTCATCCTCTAAGCTTTTTGCGTGCTACCTACTAAAAGGTGTTTTATTGACCGCACAAACCACTGATGGTATGAATGCAGGGAAAGCAAAAATTCTAAAAGAGAACAGCAAAATGTATTGAAAAAAGCACATTGCAACAACAATGTTTATAGAAGAGAAAGTAAACCAAAACCTTAACAAAACTCCTTATGTTTTCCCAGAAAAGTAACTTTCTCCCTCTTATTATCCCTCTCCTCTCTCTCTCTATCTCTACATATCTATCTCTCTGTCCATCTATCTATCTCTATCTATCTCTCCCTCTCTGAGTCTCCGTTCATCCATCTATCTCTATTTATCTACCCACTCCCTCTATCTCTCTATCCCTCTGTTTGTCCCTCTCTGTCTCTGTCTGTATGTCTGTCTGTCTGTCTGTCTGTCTGTCTGTCTGTCTGTCTGTCTGTCTGTCTGTCTGTCTGTCTGTCTGTCTGTCTCTCTCCCTCTCCCTCCTCTCTCTCTCTCTCTCTCTCTCTCTCTCTCTCTCTCTCTCTCTCTCTCTCTCTCTCTCTCTCTCTCTCTCTCTCTCTCTCTCTCTCTCTCTCTCTCTCTCTCTCTCTCTCTCTCTCTCTCTATCTATCTATCTATCTCTCCCTCCCCCTCTCTCTCCTCTCTCTCTCTCTCTCTCTCTCTCTCTCTCTCTCTCTCTCTCTCTCTCTCTCTCTCTTTTAAGCCTAAGGTTGAATTTTCACGCTCACACATTTTAATCTAAGGGGTGGTGTACATAACAAGCCTGGGCCTGTTCGATCCTCTATTCAATGACCGCCACGAGCTGTAACCCAGTTATTTAAAGCGCACGTTTGCATGATGTGGCGGGCTCATTCAGCTCTTCTCCTTCAGAACTAGCTCTGGAGAGAGAGCTAGTATGAAGTACTGCGTTTCTCTTTTCAATGCTAAAACACAACTGATAAGCAAATGAGTTCGATATTTGCGGAGTGGATAAGAAAGAGCGAGTCTACTCAAAAAACCTCTTTCTATCAATGAAGCTGCAGGAAGCCTCACCACTTGTACAATGTGATGTGTTTCAGTATTCACTTTTAACCCTTTACGTACAATTGTACGACTCTCGATCACATATGATCGAAGGTTCGAGCGGGGATTTCAGCGGGCAATCTTCATCATTTTTCGGTGTTTTTCGATAAATCCACAGCTGAGATGCATACCGAGCGCATGAGCATAAAATCTATTTTCGTCTGATGATCGATTAATTTCGTGAAACTAGGAGTTACGAAACCGCAACTGCTCGTTCTGCTGTCTGAGCTTAAAATCTACGTATGTCGCAAACAAAACAGTACACTGAAGATTGCTCACTAGGAATTCGCTCTCAATTTATCGGAAACGTTGTTCAACACTTCTCTTTGGCAATTTTGATTTATCCGAATTCGGTCTGTTCTTTTTTATGTGAAAGATTTTTCAGTGTGATGCGTACCTGTGTTTAATGCTTCAGGGTACTGCAACGACAGTGACAACTTGGTGGCCGTACGAAATGAAGACCGGTGTGTGTGCAAACCCGGTTATATCCGTACATTCGCACACAGATGTAAGTGATATACTCCAGTGTGACATCCCCACATCTTACAACACACACTCTACCATTGCCCTGGATATAAATACCTATGTTCTATTCTAGACCATAGTACTTCAAGAGTAGATGTTACTCACACTGGTCATGTATACCTTCATGGCTAGATTTGTGCGTGTTACGACTGACGTGAAAACATCATAAATTGGAAACAGTCATATTCCTGGTAATGGTCTTCTTTTCTTCTTAAAAAGTCATAGAAAACGTGTCATTTCATCCTATCCCTAACGGGACAGTGCGGAATTTTTCGTGGCACTTACATCGGGGCTGCTGTGCTCTGGTGACAGAGATATCTACTTGAAGCCGTCAAAATTATAACGACTAGGTCGCTTCGTATCCACCATTGCGAAAAATATCAAGCAGATTCTCAGATACTTCCAGTCTCAAAAGTCGGCACATTATTGTGAATCTCGTTGATCAGACCAGCAAGCTATGTAACCAGTGCGGTGTGCATCATATTAGACTTGCTATGTTCTATACGGTTATTGTCTGCAATCTTTGTCATAGCATTTCGCATGGTCCATTACACATGATCCTGTACGCGGATAACCAGTTCCATATAACTGTACTGTTGTCCATACTCAGTTGTAAGCTTGTTGTGCTGTCTGCTGCAGGGAAGACGTGCAGCAATTAGGATGTGGGCCCTTTGAGTTTATTTGTTGATAATGCTAGATTCTGCCCTACACTGGAGGCAGTTCACACGCTATCTCACCATGGAGTGATGACGTACCACCTTTGTACGAATCTTTCCATTCCCTTGGTCCAAAGGAATGGAAAGATAGTTCTTGCCGTGACATTAATGCGGCCCACTGTGCTCCTCCCCCCTCTACCACCCAACCGTCCATTCCCCACCTCACTGCCGTGATCATTCAGCTAATTTTTGTATGTATTCCGGCATCGTAAACTGTAGTCGCATGTAATCTGTTATGTTCTAAGTCGGTCTGGATGTGACGTCACGATATAAAACTATCATGTAAAGTTCATATTCACCTTACCATGATATGACTGAGTGTAATGTGCTGCACTTCCCTATGTACAGGTGAGTCCATTGTCGAGCTACTAAGTTCTACTGGACAAGCAGCAGTGAGTTCAAACATCACTGTGTTTAGCTGGTTAGAATCAGAGTGGAAAGTAGACAGTGTGTACACACAGAATACACTTTACCAGCTGGATAATCTCTCCTTACCTGAAGGGAGATTTGCCATCAGATCTGCTGGCCGGATCATCTACACGTTCTCCACTTCTCTTCAGCAAGGTAAGAAAACGCGCATGCTTATTAAGTCTTGCCGTCGCGATTGTGTGATTACCGAAGACAGAGTTCTCTGCTGTAGTCAGGTACTGCGGAGTAAAGTTGCTTTACTGCCAGTCACTATATTGAGATACGGAATATAATAATTTTGACTTTGCAACAAACAAACAACTTGAATAAAATAGAACGGGTCTTCTTTACTTGCTGCATGTTAAAGTTGGATTGCAAATGTTGCTTTGTTCTAAGGGCGCATGAAGGAAAGAGATGAACAAAGTGTCACACTAAGCAAATCAGGCCACGGGACCTGGTTCAGGTTCGATAGTCTTGCTACTAATCTGTACTTTTTTCGAAAACTACAAACTCTTTAACTCTCATCTTTCCTTGGAGTTGCTTAATTTAAGGTCCATCTGGTCCTTAAGGGGATGCAGAAACGCTATTCGATTGGTCATCTGTCTTTCTCTTCTTCTTTATGGGTATCTCTCTCGTTTTCTCTCTCTCTATCTCTCTCTCTCTCTCTCTCTCCATTCAATTTTTTCTCTCGTACTACAGCTGACACTGCTGCTGCAGAGCTGGCCAAAAATCACTCACAATTCCTCACCTTGAAAGGCAGCGCGAATGATGTTCTTGTGCCGACAGCCCATCTGCGCAACTTCCTGATCAACTTAAGCCTCTGGTTTAGGCCGCACCAAATCGAGTGTATATATATCACTAATGCAAACCAGTCAAACATCTGTAGTTACAGTGTGTTCAATGAGTCAGTCCAGTTCAAGGATGGCCTGTACGAGTTTGCCCTGTCTCCACACAACTCTACAGTACTAAGTATACCTGTTCTATACAGAGTTCACCCAAGACCCACTACCACTGTAACTATGATGACCAGCATGCCTTGTAAGTATTCAGTGTGTTCATGATAGGATGATGTGCCTTGCAGTCTATGGATGTCCACATATCCCAGGACCAGTGAGTGTGAGAGAGGTCTTCATGAACATACAACAGATTATGCTGTATTGTTTTTTCAAACATACTTAGCCTTAGTAGTCACCATGCATATGCGACCGACGCACATTTCTTCTATAATTATTGAGTTTCAAATCTCCTAGTGGTGATGACAGTGAGATGAAACAATGGATGAAGTAGTCATGAAACGACCACTAGACAACAATACTGTTAATAATTATCGGTCCACTAGACATGAACGTTCAATGAAGCCACACAGAACATGACTCACCATATAACTCTAATACATCTGTACAACTTCTAACATATTCTGCTTTGTCACTCTCTTGTCACCATGTACTCATTTTGCCGCAGTGTCAACCAATATTCCCGCCCCACCAGCAAAGGGCCGCATGTTTGGTTTGTATGCAGGTATTGGCACTGGAGTGGCAATACTGGCTGCACTCTTTCTCATAGTCTGTGTGGTGCTGGTGATACGTTATCGGAAGGGTGGAGTCAATGTCGTAGCTCAGAGAACTTGTAAGACTTGAAGAATGCACTTAGCAATATGCATGCATATACAAAATGGAGTTGCTGTTGACTTTCAAAAGTGTTCAACCCACGAAGAGGAGCATGCTACATAGTATGCACATAGGCGTGTATAATATACACAAACCAACTGTCGGTTCCAACCCAGACTTTTCAACAGCAAAGGAGAATCGGTTGTACTGAAATTGTGTTCTTATTGAATTACTAGGACACTAAGTACTCCTCGCAGCCCTAACCTGCACGGATACAATAGTAACATATGTATACCGGGTAGCTATGATTCACACAATTACTAGAGTGCACTGATGCTGTGATGCTTTCTGCTGGTTTAATACTGGTTTGCTGGTCACTGGACTGCATTACGGTTGATTACGTAACTGACTCTGAGCTGTGCTGACATGACCCAAGTATGTCGAAATAGCTAAGTTTCCTGATATTGAGTACATACATAAAAGTATACTATGAGAGAGAGAGTCATAGAGAGAGAGAGAGAGTGAGTGAGTGAGTGAGAGAAAGAGAGAGAGAGAGAGAGAGAGAGAGAGAGAGAGAGAGAGAGAGAGAGAGAGAGCGAGAGATAGAGGGAGAGAGGGGGGGGGGGGTATCTCCTTACTCTTTTGTTGCTGCTCTTGAATACCTGCTGTGTTCAAGGAATATGTATGCAGTGGAGGAACGTTTTCACAACAATATACTTTGTCCGTATGTGTGTTGTGCGCATATCTGTGTTCATACACACGCCAGTTTCAATGTCCACTTGTGTGTGGGTGTGCACGGAAGGTTGATTGTATGTTTTTTGTTTTGTTATTTTTACTAGCAAACACAGCCTTACTAATAATCAGGGGAAGAGGACAACTGAAATGACACTGGACAACAAGACAAAGGGGAGTAGGGGCGATGTGCCGATGTAATTGGCGAGGCTCATCCGACCGGAGGTCTCGGAATCATAGCCTACGACCAGGCATCGATAGGAATGCAGCTAGGGAGGGAGGGAGATAAAGTGAGAAAGAGAGAGAGAGGGGGGGGGAGGGAGGGGGGGGGGGGGAGATAGAGAGAGAGAGACAGAGAGAGCCACGAGAAAGTGAAATAAAATAAAACAAGAAAGAGATGATTGACATAGCCTCACAGGGTGTGTTCGAGTGTGTTTACGTGTGTGTGCATGTGTGCTTGTACACGTGTGTGTGTGTGTTTGTGTGTGTTTATGTATGTTTTTACGTCACGACGACTGGAAGCAACTGGTGAGCTGTTGGAAAGCGACCACCATGACACAGCCACAAACCTGCTCTACCTGTCAATAAGGTGCCCTTCCAGGTCATCCGTTACAGCGACGGCAAACACTGCTTCATTTCAGGTACATGCACTGGCGAATCATTTTCTGTTCTATCTCCCCCCCCCCCCCCCCCGTCCCATTTACCAGCATTTCCTCTGGATTAGTCCGTGTTGTTGTGTGTTTGATGAAGGAGTCAACCGCTGCAGCCAGCAACGCTGAGGCATCCTCGTCGAACTCTTCTCCAATTCCCAATTACGACGATGTAGTGATCCCGGCACCCCGCACCACCACTAAACTATCCACTGGAACATCGTCGGCTACACCTGACACGAAATATGAGGTATGTTGGTGTTTTCAAGTTCCTTTTTTTAAAAATGTTCTTAGCTCCGTAGCCGTCCAGCGTTCCACTACCCTAGTGGTGCAGGGCCGGGTCGTCTTTCATAAACAAAGATGGCGATATCAAGATTAACCAGGATGTATGAAATTATTGGCACAATCAGATCAGTTGTAAGAAAGTGATAGCCAGAGAAGAAGAATTGCAAGGACTCTCTCAATATTCACGGTCTCCGAGCTGATGTTGGCCTTTTCCGTGTCACCAAGAGTAGATAAACGAGAGTGTGCAACCTGCGGACGGGTTGGCCCAAGACGGAATGTTTTGTCGACGTAATCTTTTCTATGACGCACACGCTGCGAGTCTTGGTAAGTTTTTCCTCGTGCACTTGGCCGGGCTTTAGTACATTACAAGGTCGGTGCCCAGCACGCGCTCTCACACGACTCTTCGGCAAAATGTGCATGCTCTGTGAAAAAAGGTGACGTCAACAAAAAATTCCGCAGTGGGCCAGAGTATTTGCAAATTGTACAGGAGAGATGCGGAGTTGCACACTCTTGTTTATGTAATCTCGATATCACGGGTATCGTGCGGTACTTATTCGTCCGATATCTTTAGGGAAGTACAGGGGTGTTTAAGGCCCGCGAGAGATCCATGAGTGATACTGTAATGATCTCGTGGTGATCGTCAATGAATTAATCCAGTTCCATTTCAGGACGGATATCATCAACAACAGTCTATTTCACTAAGCACCTCGCTCCCGCGGCTTGGCCCGTTTTGCCATCGTGCTCATTATCTTTGGCCTACGCGGAAGGAGAGGGTGACCTCGCACCACACTGCTGGGTGTTCTGCATCGTGTCACACAGGAATGCGCCAGGCCTTTCCGCACTCATCACCATCTAGATGAGCGCTCCGTAATGGCCCAGGATCGAGCAGCTTGAAGAGGCTTCACTCACACCGCATAGCGTGCGTGCCGGTACGGGTAATCTCTAGCCAAGGAACAGCAGTGGAACCATGTTTTGCACAATAATATTGTACTTAAATATAGGGTTTTTTCAACTGACAACCGCTCTATTTAGTTGCAATTCACTCTTGGCCCATGCGCTGGATGAAAATTCTTTTTCTAATGATGTCCAAAGAATCATTGACGCTTCGAGCCAGTCACCCACCGTCAGAACAATAATATTATTATTAACAAAATGCGAACCTGGCCTTTTATAATGAAAGCAAGCGAGAGCGTATGTATGTCTATGTACAGAACAAACGAAACAGGAAATATCCGTATGAGATTGAGTTGATGAATTTTTCATGTACAGTAGACAAGGAGAAGTGCGCTGAAAGAGTGGGTATTCAGCAGCTCAGCAGATAAAGCGCAGGAAATGTGTGTACGAAGGTGGATACCACGCTCATTGTGAGTAGAATCCCGTATAAACACAGCAAGATTTAGCAGTTTCACTGTGAGGTTGCTAGTGCCTTCAGTTGCCATCCGAAGGAGATATTGATCTCCGGGCGACGCTCTCCAATGTCGATAGGTTCCCTGATTTTTCTTCTGGCCATCCATGTTTCCACAAGCGGTACTTGGGCCTCAATGAAAATCACATCTCTCTTCTTGATGGTTCTGTGCTTCGTGCTGCTGCTCGTGATCAGCAATATTATACTTATTGCGCGAATGCATATTACTACTCATTACCATGAGAACAAAGACCAACTTGATCATCCCCACCACTCTTCCCCTGGTGGTTGTCTAGCTCCATGTCTCTTGCAGATTCCATGAAACCATTTTATCATCCTTTGAATCATCTTATAACTCCACTATTTCTATTGTCCATGTTCAAATCAACGAGAAGTGATGAGCATACATGCTCTTTTCCTGGGCACATCGGATTCACTTCATCCGTATCACTGCGTATTTACTGATGCGGTGAACTGAGTTGTGAATTTCCAGTGATTAGGGAAGGAGCATGTGAGCTCACCACTTCTCTTCGAGTTATGAAGTTACAGGATGCCTCGCCCCATAATGTTATGTCTCATTTTGCCCGGAGACGCTTTTGATGCATAGTGATATGACACTCATCATTCGCTCCCTTGTCACTGGACAGCTCTGTCCGTTTGGTGTTAGCGAATTCAAACACGGAAAACTACCACAACAATAGATATAGGAAAAGTACCTTGAAGGATAATAAATATAATCAACTAGCCAATGGCATACTGTGCCGAAACCAGCACACTCTGTATGTTTAAGATACATACAAAGGAACGAGCATTTGCTTTTTGTTACTCTGAGTTTCACGAACTGAAAACGATTATCAGACGAAAATTGTTACTGACCCTGCCCCGAGAGTACTGCTATAAAGCACGATTGTGGGAAGATGAAATGTTTAGGTGGAAGATATACAGTAGAGGTGAGGATGGTGCCATGGCAACGAGTACAATCCACATTTTTTTTCAGCTGAGGGTTTGGTTTGAAACACTGGGCATGCAAAATAGCAAACGTCATCTTTTAATGTATGCTGTAGTTTTGGTGTTATCTTCAATAAACCCCTGAACATCAGCTTATACCAGATCTCCGTTTTTCGCTGCCTATTCTCTCTGGCTGGCCCTGCCTCTATCAGTAAAATCGTCTTGTACGCTAAATGATGTCAAGGCCAACATAAAGCTCGTGTTCTAATAACTGCTAATTCTTCATCAAGATTTGTTTCTCTTTGCCTCCAGTAATGTGTAACATTTATTTATTGTTGCTTTTTTTTTGTTTACTGCCATGGCTGGCTACCACCCCCCCCCCCCTCCCTCCATATTGGCCTATATTCTCTGGCCACGGGAAGGTGAAATAAATAAATTAATAAATGTTTCTGGAGTTAAGCAGCCAGCTCCGTTGGTATGGCTTTCAGCAACCTTGTCTTGAACGTTTGATCCGACTTACTTGTCAAGTAGATATCCAGAGATTGTGTATGTGTATCTGAGCATCAGTCTGCCAACAGCCTAATGTCCTACAAGTAATGTTAAATCCCTCACCTTGACCATTTGGTGGAAAAAATACAAGAGAGGAAAGTCCAGGAATATCTGGTTTAGAAAGGTGTTTCGCAATCTTCAGTATCCTATCGTTTGCTTGCTATTTTGCTGTTCAGGAGATGTGTCTTCTCCCCAGCAAGATTACAGATGCAGCCGTTGAATGTTCAGCTGACAATGACATTAAGTGTCTACAAGATGTAAGCTTTTATGTTGTGAAAACTGTCGCATGGACAAAGCTGTCAATTTGCTAAAGCTGTAACATGACTATGTCTGTTAATCTCAAAAGCCTACGTGAGTGGCTGTTATTACATAGTGACTTGTGCATGAACAGACATGCGGAAATGTCTATCAGCTACCCTCCGTTTTTCCTGTTCTTTCAG